CTCTCTCTCTCTCTCTCTCTCTCTCTCTCTCTCTCTCTCTCTCTCTCTCTCTCTCTCTCTCTCTCTCTCTCTCTCTCTCTCTCTCTCTCTCTCTCTCTCTCTCTCTCTCTCTCTACCGTGCCGCATCTCCTCAGGCTAACAACAACACTAAAACAGACGCCCGTCTACGCCCTACTCGAGACACCCTACTCCCCGGACCTCAAGTCCAAGCTCTTCCTCACCGATGACCCGGCCCTGATCGTGCTGTACGCCCAGCTGCGGCAGAAGACGCTGCAGACGCTCCGGGGTGCCTCAAAGGTCACCCCCAAGGTGGAGTGGGAGTTTGTCCTGCACAACGCCCGCCTGTACGACCGCATGGGCTGCGACCTGCTCGGGCTAGGTCTGGGTGTGTTATGTTCTTTCCCCCCCTTTGCTTCTTGTTTAAAAACAAGGTATATAATCTAACCCAACCCCAACCAAAACAAAAGTCCGAAATTGGGAGTTCCTCGGCTCCAGCCGCGCCACCCCCGGCCTGGGCGGCGACATCGACCCCCTCAAGCTCCTCCGCCGCCGCAGCTCGCTCGTCGTGGCCGACATGCCCGTCGCCCCGCTCTCGCCCACGGAGCGGCGCGCCGCGGCCAGGGGCGGCGCCCACCAGCCCCCGCCCAGCGTCTTTGAGGAGCCCGACTCCAACTCGCTCCTGGACAGCTTTGGGTTCTGAAGCAATAAGGAATTAGAAAAAGGAAGGGGGATGAGAGGAGCGTATTTGGGAGGGGGTAATGAATGTCCTGTTTGGCTTGTTGGCGCGCGCGCGTCTTGTCTGGGTTCGGCGTTGCAGGCATGTGTGCAAGGGCTGCCCAGGCGCCAGATCAGGCTCATGTTACACATGCTACTTTTCTGTATATTGTAACATTTATAAACCGCCAGCATCGACTTTTGGATTCGCATTCTTTTACAAGACCGAGGTCACCTCGCATGTATTGCCAAAGTAGAGAGGTGTCACCATCGACTTGTTCAACCTTTTGCCTGCTTGGGTACCATGATTGTTCCTTCTTGTGCTCTGATTGGAATTTGTTCTACCCGAAATCCCTAATATCCGATCCTCCTTTTTGTGCGGCCTTCGTGGCGAGCCAGCCTAGAGCACCCCCCCACCTTCCTCCTCCGCCGCCGTCCGCGTCCCGCACAGCCAGCGCGCAAACCAATCAAGCCGACGAGGTCGTGCCCAACACAATCGACTTGCAGTCCTCAATCAGGGGCGCGACCCCTGTCCAGAGCTCGAACTGGTACTTGCCCTGGGCAGCCAGCACCGTGGCCCCCGGGACGGTGGCCCAGCCGCTCGCCTCGGCGAGCTCCATCATGGCCGTGACGGGCGGGAAGTAGGCCATCTCTAGCAGCACGCGCGTGCCGGCGGCCGGGGCGAGGCTGAGCACCGACTTGAAGACGTCCGTCATGCCGGGATCCGTCGCCTTGTCCGCGGGGATGGTGGATATCGCCACCTGGGGCGGCGCCTGGTCCAACCTTGTCAGGGGCTCGCAAAGGTGCTTGATGTCGTACTCGCTGGGGAAGCTGGACGCCATGGTCTCGACGTTGGCCGCGCTGCGCGCGACCACGTAGATGGGGGCGAACCCTAGCGAGTGGAGCGCGAATATCGCAGCGCGTGCCGTCCCCCCGGCTCCCAGGACCACGGCAGGGCGCGGCGATGGCGGGCGCACGACGCCGCTGGAGCGCAGACACAGCGCCATGCCCCGCCAGTCGGTGTTTTCGCCGACGAGCCTGACACTTCCGTCTGGCTGCTGCGTCGGGATGATGGTGTTCACTGCGCCGATTGTCTTGGCAGAGTCGCTCACCTCGTCTAGGAGTGGGATGACGCCGAGCTTGAGCGGAATCGTAACCGAGGCGCCGCCAAAATCGGGGGCCCGGATAAGCTCCTGCATCTCAGACGCCACGTCGGTCTCGAAATTGGAGTAGATGTGCGGGAGGCCGTTCTGCTCGAAAAGGGTGTTGTGCAGCGCTGGCGATCTGGATTTTGAGATGGGCTTGCCAAAGAGGTGGAAGCGGCGGCGCGGGAGCTTGCCCAGGAGGTGAAGGCCTCGTCGGATCTCGGCCGCCGACAGCTGTCCAGGGGCGGCAGCCGCAGTGAGGCAAGAATGTGTGACGGGCGCCAGGAACCCGTTCAAGACACGGCTCAGCTTGCCCGCCTCGCCCATGTTGAGTGCGATTAAGGGTGTGTTCTTGTGGGCCGAGGACATGCGCGCCTTGAAGCCGGCGAGAGCAAAGTTGTCGTCGTCGCCGCGAGACCAACCGACAAGCTTGACGACATCACCGTGACGCAGCGCCTTGTTGTAGAAGGGAATCCAAGACCCGTTGCGCCACGACAGGGTGCCCTTGGGGTCGTGGTGCGAAGCTATGATGCTCGTTTTGCCCTTGGCTTGCGTGGTCTTCTCGATCACGTCGTCCGGCATGGTCATCTCCACGTCCACGTACTCGACGCCCAGGCGGATGGCGAGGAGGTAGAGCGTTAGAGCGCCCTCGTAGTTGTCGTCTGGGTAGCGCCCACCCTGCGAAGCAGTGCGCACCGTAAAGACGATGGGCAGGTTGCAGACGTAGCGTAACAGAGCAACCTGCTTGGTCACGAACTCGGGCGAGTGGTCTTCAAGCAGGTCGACGCGCAGCTCGACGGCATCAGAGCCGACAACGGCGCGAGGGATGATATCGGCAGACGCCCCAATGTTGGGCACCGTCAGCGAGACAAAGAAGGAGTGCGGCTTGGCCTTGGCCTCCTTGAGGTGCGAGCTCTTGCCGCTCAACAGGGCCACAAAACGTGCAAAGTCAGCAGGTGGTTCCGCTGCATCGCTTACCACATCCAGATGCGGGCTGTGGTACTCTAGGTTGCTGCACTCCCGGTACCACGGCTTGCGGCGCATGTAGACGGCCTCGTTCTGCTCCGTCCAGGCCGGGCGAGTCTTGTCGCGGTTGAGATACTCGACCACACGTTCCGTGTCGCGGTGGACGAGCAGGACGCGCCCGCCAGCGCGACAGTACGAGACAAGAGCCTCACGGGCCTCTGGCGCCTCGACAATCCCGCCGCCGCAAGAGAATACATAGCCGCGAGACTTGCTGCTGATGACGTCGTGAAGCAGCGCGAGCTCGGCTGCCCTGAAGCCTGGCCAACCAAGGTCCCCGCGGATCATGTCGGGAATGGTCATCCCATGCACCCGCTCCAGCTCCGTGTCGAGGTCTACAAAGGTACGGCCCATCATGGCGGCCATCCACTTGCCGGCTGTGGTCTTGCCGGCGCCCCTCATGCCAATGACGAAGATCGAACCGTCGTCGGGCTTCGCTGATGGGGCTTCGTGGCCGGATGCGGCATCACTAGGCTCTTCACCGTCCATGGCCACTCCAAAGGACCCAGAGAGCACATCCCACCACCCCGGCCACGTCTTCCCAGTGCACTCGCGTTCCAGAATCAGGGTTGGCTGGGGGGCGACAATGGACAAGACGCCGAAACTCATGGCTACCCGGTGGTCGTCGTAGCAGTAGACTCCGCCGGCGGGCTGCGAGAGCTCCTTCAAAGGCCTCCCCGTTACCTCGATGCCGTCGTCGAGCTCGCTGCAGTGCACGCCGAATTTTGCAAGCTGGTCCTTCATGGCCGCGATGCGGTTGCACTCCTTGACGCGCTGGTTGGCGATGCCCGTGATTTTGGTGGTGCCGCTAGCCACAGCGGCCAAGACCGAAGCAGTGAGGAAGGCGTCGGTCATGGGCTCCATGTCAACATGCGGGATAGCCTTGAGTTGTCCGATGGGCGGGCCTGTGACGGTAGTCGAAGTTTCCGACTGTTCGACTGAGCAGCCCATGGGCCGCAGCACCTCGATTGCGAACCGGGCATCACCCTGGAGCGATCCCGACCCGATGTTGGGGATCGTGCAGGTTGTGCCGGTGATGGCGGCAACCGCCAGGGGGTAGGTAGCCGAGCTGGCATCGCTCTCGACCGTGTAAACGGCCGGGTTGGTGTAGACACCCCGAGGAATGTGGTATGTGTTGGCCTCGGTCGCGGAGCGCTCCACCTCGATGCCGAATGACCGCATCATGGCGATGGTCATGTCGATGTAAGGCTGCGAGATGGGGTGGCCGCCGACCAAACGCAAGGTCACGGGCTCCTTGGCATACGGCGCTGCCATGAGCAGAGATGACACGTACTGGGACGACACGGTTGCGGCCACCTCGATGACGCCACCACCAAAGCCGCCTGCCGCATCGACGCGGACCGGCAGGCTGTTCTCCTTGCCCAGGTAGGTGATGCCAATGCCGTTCGAGCGCAGGGCGGTCACGAGTGCGCCGATGGGGCGCACCTTCATGCGTGCGTTACCGGTCAGCACTGTGGAGGAGGCACTTCCGTCCTCGGCGGGCGAGCACAGAGCGGCAACGGTGGTGAGGAAGCGCGAAGCGGTGCCCGCATTTCCAAGATAGAGCTCTTCCTGGCTGGCGACCAGCTGACCGCCGCGGCCCTCGACAACCAGCACCTCGCCGTCGTCCTCCCACGAGCAGGTGGCGCCGCGCAGCCGACCGATGGCGTTCAGCATGTGCTCCGTGTCGTCCGAGTGCAGGAGGTTCTTGATGCGACAAGGCCCCGTGCCGAGGGCGGCCAGTACAAGAGCCCTGTTGGATATGCTCTTGGAACCGGGCGGGGTGACGTCCACCTTGAGGCCAGGGCGTACGCCGGGGGTGACGCGGACGGCAGGGGAGAGGACAACGCGGATGGCGCCGTCGTCGACGCTGCTTGCCTTGGGCTCGTGGCACTTGCCAATGGCGGAGAGCAGTACAATCTTTTTCTGCCTGCCGTCGTTCTTCTTGTCGACGGCCATCTTGTTCAGCAGGACGTCGACGGGGCACTTCTTGCCGGCCGTCAGCTTGACCACGCGCTTGTCATCAACCGACGTGGGCAGGTCGTAGCTGGCTATGCACTTGGCCAGGCGGGCGACGGCGGCAGGGCGCAAGATGCCCAGGTGGCGGGCCAGCTCGGACTCCTTGACCATGCCAATGGCTACAGCCTCGCCATGGAGAACCTGGGGCGTGAGGATGGCCTCAAAGGCGTGGCCGATGGAGTGGCCAAAGTTCAGGAGATTGCGCAGCCCGCCCTCCTTCTCGTCAGACGAGACCACGTGGGCCTTGACGCGGGCAGAGCCCAGGACGATGCGCTTGAGGATATCGCGGATCGGGAGGAGTCTCTCGGCGGAGCACGGGCGGCGGACGGCGGACAGAATGGCCTGGGCGTTCTCCTCGAGGGCGGTAAACTCGGCAGCATCCCAGATGGCAGCCGTCTTGACGACCTCGGCCATGCCGTTGATGAACTCGCGCGCGGGCAGGGTGTCGAGGAAGGCCAGGTCGATGTAGATGCGGCGGGGCTGCCAGAAGGAGCCGATCAGGTTCTTGCCCATCGGGGTGTCGATGGCGGTCTTGCCGCCAATGGACGAGTCGACCATGGCCAGCAGCGTGGTGGGCACCTGAACGAAGCGGACGCCGCGCATGAAGGTGGCGGCGACGTAGCCGATCATGTCGCCAATGACGCCGCCACCCAGGGCGATGATGACGGTGTCGCGGGTGCACTGCTGCTCCAGCATCCAGTCCTCGATCTCGGCCTTGGTCTCGCGGCTCTTGGAGGCCTCGCCCGGGGGGATGGCGTAGGTGAGCAGGCGCGGGGCGCGCGCCGACGTGGTGCCCTTGGCCAGCGCATCGTTGAAGACAGCCTCGAAGGACGGGACGTAGATGGGGGACAGGTTGGTGTCGGTGATGAGGACGTAGGTGGACGAGGCGATGTTGGCGAGCAGGTCGTGAGTCACGTAGTCGAGCCAGATGCCATGGTCGACCACGATGCTGTCCTCGCCGAGGATGCGGATCTTGGTCGGGTCCGACGACCCGCTGGCCGCCAACATGGTGTGGTGTCAGGCAAGGCCAATTACTGCTGGGGCTGGTCTATGTTGGCCGGCTGGCGTCTTGCTTGCGTCTTGCTCCAGCCTCGTCGATGCAGCTTCAGGTCGAGTGGTGTTGGCCGAGCTCTCCTGAACTCCTGAAGGCTGAAAGCGAGGGGCAGCCCAAACTCAATTATTAGCCTATGCTCGAGTGGATTCTGTGGACCAGCTCCAGCCAGCCAAGTGAAGCTTTCCAGCTGTTGGCTACGCGCTATACCTTTCTCAGCACTCCCAAGCGCACAAATAGCCTATATTGATGCTAGGGAGCCAAGCTTATGGTCCTGACTGTCTGGCCATTACTCCCCAGCGGTTTTGCAATCTCCAAGCTCGACGACCACCATAATGTTTGTGCCCCTCCTCCGCTCCCGGCACCTCGCCCACTCGTGGGGCAGCAGTGTGGGCCTGGCATATTTCCAGCGGCCAAAGGGGTTACATCCCGCTGGCGATCGCTTGGGCTCATGCTTATGTTTTTGTAAGCGACAGACGCGTGCCGCTGACGGAATTATCAGCTTCATGTCTCTCGAACAGCCACAAGACTCTGGCCGATCAAACTCAAGGCAGGTCTATACACCCTTCACCTATCTAAGTACGAGACATTGCCTCCAAGATGACGATTCAACTTCAGGAGTTGGCAAAGTTTTCAAAATCCAAATCGGCGGGCGCATCTGAGTTCCAGGCAAAGCGCACGTGCATTAAAAACCAGTCCAGCACAAGCTTCGTTGACCTCGTAATCACTAGCCTAGCAGTTCATCTCAATGTTCCCAGATGAAGCCTTATGAAGAGCCGTCCTGATATAGGCCGGCGCGCAGAACATGTCTGTCTCGAAGGACATCCAGATGTCCGAGCAGGGCCAAGGGCGGCCGTCGGTGCAGCCGCATCCCCAACTATTTCGAAACAATGGCGGAAGGTAGCCGGGAGGTCAGTAGAGGGGATATGGGAAGAGCCAAGGCATTGCGCAGAGAAGAAGGCACCCACTCGTTGATGACCCTGCACTCGCCCCGGAAGTTGTCTAGATAGCCGGATCCGCAGTACTTGGTGGGCTCGTTGTAGAGGTCGGCATCGAACGACACGATGTGCCATTGCTTCCACGTCTGCAAAAACATGTTATTGCCTCTCACGTGTTAGCCGTTCTGTGGAACCTTCTTTTTTTCTCTCTTTTTTTTTGGCGTTCTTGGGGAAGGGCACCGACGCCATGGTCAACCATCTCGCATTTGTTGATGCCGCGCAGCGGGCCGTTCTTGGGGGGGCCCGGGGTCGGGCCGGTGAGGGTGTAGGTGCTGATGGGGCTCCCGGTGGTGCTCACGACGACCACCTTGGTCCCGTACACGGTGGTCAGCTTCGTGGTGATGGGGCGCCGGCTCGACGTCGCGAAGGTCCTGGCCATGATTCCGTCGGTGGTCATGGCAATCCGCGATTCCATGGTCAGGTTCGCGGTGGTGTTTAGGGTCTGCTTGGCGGCGTCCAGGGTCGAGTTCGCGGTGATCAAACCGTCGCCGCGGGCAGCAGTGCTGCCCAGGGCGAGCAGGACGGCCGTGGCCATGGTTGTGATGCCTGGGATCATCTTTGGTTCTGCTTGGCGGGAGTTGTATGATATTCACACTGATATGTCACGCTAACGCCCCTACCCGGTTGGCGACGAGAAAAGTGGCCAGACCGTGAACAATGGAAGAGAGAAAAGACTGGATGGACGAGCAGACAGACGAGAGTGGTTTAATACAAGTCTGCGGCAAATTTTCAGTGGTGACTTCGCCTCATGACCTCAGGGGCTTGAGGCTATTCAGGAGTTTTGGCTGCATCATTACTGCCATCGACGTACATGGCTTCCATATCTTTTTTTTCTCTACTTGATCTATAAACTCAATCCCACAAGGATGTCTGTTCAAGCAGCAGATTTGCATGTCAAATTTCTAGGCTAGCGCACCTCCCAGACCTGAGAATCTGTGACATTGTCAACGCTAGCGGCCTCCTTGACTTCACCCTGCTGCTCCGCGCCCCAGTCCACCTTCAAGCGCAGTCCTCGCGGGTGGTCATCGGGGATCGAGACCGTCAGCTTGCCCGACACCGTCTGGCCCTTGGTCAGCGTGAGAGGGGCGCAGCCTGGGCGGGTGGTCAGGATGCCCTGCTTCCAGTGCGTCGGGGTGCCAAAGGGCCCCGTGGTGAAGGCGACGCGGTCGGCGCGGCTGCTGTCGCCCCAGGCAAGGGCGGTGGCGTCGGGCGGCTCGACCGTCTTGCCGCGCGCGTTGCAGAAGAAGGTGTCGAACCAGACGACGAAGGCGTCGAGGCGCGGCGCGTCGGCTGTCAGGGTGGAGCGCCAGGTGGACTCGAAGATGAGGTCCTCGACGCGGACCGTGTGCAGGTCTAGCATGCGGAACATGAAGGGCTCGCCGCACAGGGAGCGCGGGGGCAGCACCTCGATGTGGCTCTCGGCGCAGATACCCTCCTGCATGGCCTTCATGTCGAAGCCGTAGACGTTGCGCCAGAACGTGATGTGGTCGTCGACCCAGTCCTGGTCCGACATGGGGGCCACCCACATGGACGTGTGGCTCGGGACCAACAGGCCGTCGGGGGCCAGGTAGCGGTCGCGCGCCCACAGCACGCTGGGGAGCATGGCTTCGTAGAGCAGGCAGTAGCCCATCCACTCGCTCACGATAATGTCCACCTGCTCCACCGGCAGCTTGACCTCTTCCATCTTGCCCTTGAGGCAGGTGATCTGCTCGCCGAGTCCGTTGTTGAAAATGTTCTCGCGCGCCTTGTCGATGATGTCCGAGTTGTCCACCGCAATGACCAGCTTGGCCCCGGCCTTGGCGCAGAACATACTGAGAATGCCAGTGCCACAGCCGATATCGAGGACCACCTTGCCCTTGAAGAGGTCCTTGTTGTTGTAGATGAAGTCGCGGTATGCCTCGGTGCGCACGGCATCCTTAAGCATAGTCTCGTGGATCTCTGCATTGGCATGGTTAGGCTCCATAAGCGGACATGTTCGGGCAAGGGAAGACCAAGAAACAGCGTGGCGCACCGTTGCTCGCGTACGAGTCCCAGTAGTACTTGGACTCGTCGACTTCCTTGGCCGGAACGGCAGCAGCAGCGCCAGACACGGCCGCGGTCGACGAGGCGCCCTCGTCCTCGCCCCAGCGCTGATCCAGCGTCTGCTGCACTGCCGTGCGATAGTCGGCGAACTGGCGCACGAGGCGGTCCAGCTCAGCTTGGAGCTCGACGTTACGCGATCGGAGGGCATCGGCCTCGCCACCAGCAGCTGCCGACTCCCCAGCAACAGGTGCGGTGCTCTCAGGGAGGTCGTCGAGGGCCATGATGAATGCGTCGTCGGCTAGCACCGGCTTCAGGTAGCGGTCATCCTCCAGGTCAGCCGGCTTGATCTCGGCCGGCAGAGCCGCGCGGTCCAGCGCCCGCTGGCGGACTTCAGGTATCGTCTCAGGTTAGCACGTACTCACGTCGGTGGGATCCGCACATCTGGGAATGGATACCAACCATAGTTGATAAGCTTGATGCAGCCATAAAAGTCAAGCCCCAGCCTGTCGCGCGTGGCAACAAAGTCGAAGCCATGCTTGTCTTTGCAGTGCTTCACCATGGAAGCAGCATCTGTAAAAACGGCATCGTCGAGGAGCGACACGATGGTGGGCGGTTCCTCGACTTCGTTCTCGGCGTCGACCCAGCCGTCCTCACTCGACGTATCCGAGCCGCTGGAAGAAGGGGGCCCGGCCATGTTGGAGGTAGATGGATATCGCTATCTCTTCTGGTGCAATAGGATTGGATACTGCCAATAGAACTCAAAGATTATGTTTGTGCCTAGTCCAAGTCGAGCCGTTCCACGTCGAGTTGTGTGCGACGGATTTTCGAATTTCCCCCACGCTGGATAAACAAACTGCCAATCTGGGAACTTTTTTTTCTCAAGACCCCTCCTTCCCCTCCTGAGTGTTTTCTCGTTCCCTCCTCAACTCCCACCCATACATTTTATTCGCCAATCCGATCTTTGCAGGCCGTTCGTTAATTTTTGGGGTCCCCACATCCTATATCTCTTGCAAGAAATTGCAAAATCACACATGGAAAAAGATTATAATCCCGGCCTCACCTCGAGCCCCTCGAGCTCTGTCCCAATTGCTCCCCCTCACACTAATGATTACACAGCATGATCGACTACGACAGCTTTTGAACGCTCCCGTCTGTCTCTTGGATATCTGGGCAGGGCTGAGTGTGTTTCCACATTCATAGGGACAAACTCTTGGGATAGATGGAAGCGTGCCGACAAACTTCGAGAGCTTGGTGAACATGCCCAAGAACATGGAGAACATATTCAATGACAAGCGGTGGTTGGGCCGGTTCAAATTCGCACGTGCTTGTCTAGAGCCAGGAGAACGCCCGGGAGTAGCCTTTCACTTCCTTCACTCGTCATCATCGTCCTCGTCTTCGTCAGAGTCCTCACCATCAGAAACCGTCTGGCCGAGAGCCTTTAACCGTTCCTGAGAAGGGGAAATGGGTTAGCGCCATGTACCGCTGTGTTGTCAGGTTGGGGCACAAGGAGGGCCAAACACTAACCTTGTACTTGTTGGTCTTTTCCTCAAGATCACCAAACACCATCAGAAGGTCGTCCAGTTCACCCTGGGTCGCCTTCTTTTCTGATTGCGCCTGTTTCAACAGGGCGTCGTTCTAGGAAGGGGAAGTCGAGGTTTGTCAGTAAAAGAGAAACAGATGACAGGAGCGCCGCGCCTGTTCACCCCTTTTGAACTCACCTTCTTCACTTGCTCCTCCTTGCTTGCCACCAACTTCTCCTTCGAGGTCACAAGCCGCTCCAGCTCACGAAGCCTTCCGTCCCGCTCCGTAAGGTTCTTTTGCAGCGCTTCCAGTTTCTCTTCAGCCTCCATGGTTGTGGCGACCTGAGCGGCCAGCTTCGCGTTGAAATCGTCCTTGGCGGCCTGTAAGTCATGCGCCCTCGATTTGTTTGCCTGAAGTGCTTGTTAGTCACTTGGGCCGACTATGTTCCGGGCTGGCAGGGCCGCCTTCTCACCTTCATAAGGTCGACTTCGAGCCGGCTTATCGTGGCTCGGAGGTCGGCCACAGCAGCCTCGTTACGGCGCTGTGTACGCTCCAGCTCGGCAGTTGCCAACTTCTTTGCCTGCTCTACTTGCTTCTGGAGCTCGCTCTCACGCGTCTGAAGCTTCTTCTGTAGTTCATCCTCGCGTGACCGAAGCTGTTCCTGTAGCTCATCCTCTCGCAGCTTATGCTTCCTCTGCAACTCCTCTTCCCGTGACTGGCTCTGTTTGCGTAGCTTTCTGCGTTGGGTGTTAGATCTCGTCCCACCAGTGAGCCTATTGGCTGACCAAATGCAGCCGGAATGAGGGCGTGTCGCTTACCCAACTTCCTCCTCATGTAGCCTCTGCAGAGACTCGTTTACTGCCTTGAGCCTTGAAAGCTCTCCCAGGGTCGATTCCTTTGCTCGTCTGTGGTCCGCCTGTTCCTGGCCGAGCTGGCCGTCCAGGGATGCAATCTTGAGCTGTGCTTCTTGTAGTTCCCTGTCTTTTTCCTCCATTTGACTCCGTAGCCCGTCGACGAGCTCTCGCGAGATGCCCTTCTGGACGCCGTTCGCCACCACTGATATCTCCATGCCTGGCTCCCTGTCGATGGCTCGGAGAATGCGGCTGTAATTGTCTTTGAAGAACTCAACAAACGAGCCATCAAAAAAGACATCGGGAAACTTCTGGCCTGACGAGACGTCCAACCGTTGAGGGAGCACCTCGAAATCGCGGACCAGGGGGTGGCTCCTCAGCGTGCTTAGTTTGTCGATGTACACCTCACGCGTCATTTTCTGAAGAAGGATTGGTTGCAGCGTCGTTCTTGGCACAGGCGAATCCTTGGTCGAAAACTCGTAAACAACGCCCAGCAACATGGCGCACAGGCCCTGTACGATCGGCCCTCCACCCGTATTCTTAGCAACGGCGTTGACGAGCCCCTGAATGTTGCTACCTTCCCCGAGGAAGTCGTTGACGCCGTCAAGATCCTCAAATAGCCAGCACAGCAGCAACATGAGACTTCCGATAAGGACCCGCTCATCATCACCACGTCCCAGGCCCGAGACGAGGTGTGCGGTGATGGTTTGGATGCTCGTTACTACCTCCTCACCACTCTCTTCATCGCCCTCGGTAACATCCATAGCCATGGCCTTGGCCTGGGGGCTATCCATGAGCAAGTGCAGCATGATGACGGCGGCGAACCAGTATCGGTAAGGGTTAGTCACCGATTCCTCGGCGGGCGATCGCATCAGGGTTGTCAGCACGTTCGCCGTTTCGTCCGCGCCAGATCGATGGCCCTCTATCGCTCGTGATAAGAAGTGCTGGCGCACTTCCGAGTGATGAAAGAAGTACGCCTTGAGGCACCCGCATGCCGCAAACCTGAGATCAAAGTCCTGCACCGTGTGAACACTCAACGTGAGATCCAGCAGACCATCAATTACGTACACGGTCACTGTGCTGTTTCCCTTGTTGTCCAGAGGTTGCCCGCCCACATGCTGCGGGTGGTCGAGTGGGGAAGGGACTTGAAGCTGAGCAAAATTCTCTTGGAGAACACCGTTGCCTCTGATGATATCGGCACAGGCTACGAGAGCCTGCAGAGACATAGCTTGAATTAGAGAAAGCAAAACCATGGCAGAGGTGGGCCTGACGAATAGTGTCCCCGTATTAAATAGATATGCGTCTATATAGGCACATGGGGTGGGGTGTTTGGCTGCTCACCTCGGCCTTGATGGTTGTGTCTGCGTCATGGTTGAAAGCGAGCTGGAGGGCATGAAACAACAAGCCGTGTTGCCAGAAGGCGGCCTGGTTCTGAGGGGTGCCCACGGCTCCGGCTACAAGGAAGAGCCGGACAACAGCAAGTAGGGCATAGACGTTCCTGTTGCGCTGCTCCTCGGCCCAGGAGGCTATCTCGCGCTCCTCGCCCTCGGCGGGTTGGTAGGCGTTCTTGAGAAGCCCCGTCAGCTTAGCGACGCAACCCGTCTCGCGGAAAAGTGTTTGGTTAGACGGGTTGATTCGCAGCAGGTTGGCCAGGAGTATCAAGCAGTCCTCGACGACGCGGCCGCCCTCAGCCAAGCCACCGTCGGAGGCGACGACTGAGAGAATGCGCTCGAACGCGTTCTCGAAGGCGACTAGCTTCTGGATCTCAACCGAGCTCGGAGTGAGATAGGTGAGCAGGGTAATGGCCTCGTTGCGGACGGCCTCGCGTCGGTCGTCGAGTATGGCGACGAGGCGGGGGATGCCCAGGGGCGCGGTGAGGACGCATTCTTCGGCGCGCTCAGTGCGAGCAGAGTGGACGGCGGAGAGGAGCTGCAGCGAGTACAGCCGCGAGTAGAAATCGGGGGTTTCGAGGAAGTCGAGCAGGAGGGTGATGTTCTCCTGGCGTTGGGTGAACTCGTCGGCGAGCCAGAGGGCGATCTCGTCGGAGGCCTCGGGGCTGTCGTGGTTGGGGCTAAAGAGCATCAGCAGGGTCTCCAGCACACCCTTGACCGTGTCGACATCCTCGCCATCTTTGGATAGACACCCGATCAGGCTGCGGAGGGCGCCCGAGGCGACCGAGGCAGGGTACTGCTTGGCAAAGCTTCGCAGGCCCAGGATGGCGGCGCGGCGGTCCTCGAGCAACGTGGCCGAGCCGAGGCGGCCGCTCAGGACTGAGATGGTCTCGCCGACCGACTGCTTCGCCGGCGCCGCTGGGATCGAGAACATTGTTGGCGGGGTTTGTCGGCAACTTGCGGGGAGGGCAGGCGGAAACTAGTGGGTTCTAGGACAACGAGCCATCGAGGAACGCTTGCAGATTCATGGTGATGGGCCGAGTCGTCTATGGATATTTTGTTTCGTCGAGTCTGTTCGCAGAGCAGCTCCCCTCGAACTCTTCCAGGGCTCGCTGTTTCCTCTCCCTCTACTTTGTCTTCCTAGTCGATCGATTTTGGCGCCTGGCTTCTAGACCCGAGGTTTGGCCTTCCGGGCTGATTGCGTCGGTGATCGAGTTGCGGGCAGCCTGGGCGCGGGCAACATCAATGATCAATGTGGACACCTCACGGCGTGGGCAGGGGCATACATCAGCAATTGTCCCTGACTTAGGGCACCCCGGCTCTTCAGCCATCAAATTGATGTCGCTGTAGCACATGCCGTGCCTGTGATTATGGCAGCAGACCAAGCAGGAGCTACAACTACCACGGAAGGGTATCTCGAATTTTGGGCCGCAAAAGTGACAGCACTGAGGCGCCGAATACTGAGGGAAAGCGAATCGGTAGGAATGAGAATAACATCAGAATATAGGAACAGGAATTCGCTTATTTGGCCCATGTTCCCCCAGGGCCATGCATTTCTCTCTTTTTTTATCTTGCGGGCATATCGTATAATCATAGGACGCTTATTTTACCGTCCTTTGACAACAGTTTACCTCTCGTTCGTCCCTGCGCATTGCGTTCCGAGATGGTTACTTGATTTGGTCTTCCCTTGAGCTTTGGGACGGCATCAGCTCGGGCTGTCGCATCCAGCGCGACCCACACTAAAGCCTGGCGCGCGCAACATTCGGCAGAAAGCTGATAAGATAAACCTCCATTAGTCACCACCCTTGAGGAGATACCTTTGCCCAAGCTAAGTTTTCCACCTGCGGAAAAGGTACTGCACCCCTTCCGGATACTTTTGTTTCGATCCACCTTTGTTCTCACCGCCCTGGTTTTGCAAGACCAGGACCCTTCCAGTCGCCGGATCCGTTGCGGCTTGGTTCCTGCAGCTCCCTCCCGTCCTCCCTCGTCGCACAACGAGCGGCGACAGTTTGCCCTTCAACCGAATCCCATCCGGGCAAGCCGCCGGTTTCCTCCTGTCCCATCACATTTTCTAGGAACGACCCAAATTGCGACGACAAGCCCAACAAATCCGCAAGCCGCGAGCGTCGTCGCTTACCACCGCCGCCATGGGTATTCCTGCGGCGTTCCGGTGGTTGTCCACCAAATATCCCAAAATCATCTCCCCGGTCATAGAAGACAAACCTATCGAGATGGGTAAGTCGTACCCGCGTTCGCGCGCCTTCTCGTCTCTTTGCGACGCTTCCATTCTCGGTGTAGTCTTGGCGAAGCTCTGGTCCCAGTGATGGCTAACAACCGGCGCGTCGTTTGTTTCATCGGTAGACGACGGCACTGTCATTCCCGTCGATACTGCGAAGCCGAACCCAAACGGAGAGGAATTCGACAACTTGTACCTGGACATGAACGGAATTGTTCATCCCTGCGCGCATCCCGAGGACAGGCCCGCGCCCAAGGACGAGGAGGAGATGATGCTTGAGATTTTCAGGTATACCGACCGCGTTGTCAATATGGTGAGGCCGCGCAAGGTACTCATGATCGCAGTTGGTAAGCGCGCCCAAGTTCATATATACTTTTCAGATTCTGTCCACCGCCAACTAAAACGATCACCCCACGCTAACCACTTGGACCCTTCGTCTGGCAGATGGTGTTGCTCCCCGTGCCAAGATGAACCAGCAACGATCTCGACGATTCCGATCTGCGCAGGAAGCCAAAGAGAAGGCTGAGGACAAGATGGAGCTTCTGAAACTACTAAAGCAGCAAAATGGTGGCGACGTTGCCCCCGAGACGCTCGAGAGCGTAACCAAGAAGGCTTTCGACACCAATTCCATCACTCCTGGCACTCCCTTCATGCTCATTCTGGCCGCCAGTTTGAGGTACTGGTGCGCTTACAAGCTGAACACCGACCCCGCCTGGGCCAACCTCAAGATCATCATTTCTGATGCTACAGTGCCCGGCGAGGGCGAGCACAAGATCATGGACTTCGTCCGCTCCCAGCGGTCATCGCCCGACCACGACCCGAACACGAGGCACGTCATCTACGGCCTGGATGCCGATCTCATCATGCTAGGTCTCGCCACGCACGAGCCGCACTTCCGAGTCTTGCGCGAGGATGTCTTCGCCCAGCAAGGAAAAGCGAGGATGTGCAAGCTATGTGGGCAGAAGGGACACGATGCGCAGAACTGTCGGGGAGAGGCCAAGAAGAAGGAGGGCGAGTTTGATGAAAAGGAAAAGGCCGAGCCGCTGAAGCCCTTCATATGGCTGCATGTCTCTGTTCTTCGCGAGTATCTTGCCGTCGAGCTTGAGGTTTCAAACCTCCCATTTCGGTTCGATCTGGAGAGAGCCGTTGACGACTGGATTTTCCTCTGTTGCTTCGTCGGCAATGACTTCTTGCCGCATCTACCTGCCCTGGAAATCCGTGAGAACGGAATCAACACCCTGACCAACATCTGGAAGCGGAACCTGGCAACCATGGGCGGCTACGTCACCAAGGACGGCCACATCGACCTAGAGCGGATCCAGGTCATCATGAACGGTCTGGCGCAGCAAGAGGACTCTATCTTTCGGAAGCGAAAGGAATCGGAAGACCGCAAGGAAGCAAACGCCAAGCGGCGCAAGCTCCAAGATGACAGAGAGAAGTACGGGAGGAAAGGCGGGCAAAACGAGTCGTTTGGTGGTATCGCCGAGCCTGGAAAAATCATCACGCACGACATGGTGGTCAACCGCGCCGCAACCCAGGCGCAGGATGCCAATGTGGCAAACAAGAGCGCGGCGAGCATTCTCAAGAGCCAGATCAAGGCTCTTTCGGCTCCAGCGGGCGAAGCCACCCCTCCCGAGACACCTGTCAAGAACGGAGGTGACTCGGAAGACTCGAAAGACTCGAAGCCGGACACGCCTGCCTCAGAGACGCCCGCGTCGGCTCTCGGCAAACGCAAGGCTGAATTGTTGGAAGATGGCGATAGCTCAGCCGGGCCCAACAGCCCTGCCCCTGGCACGCCATATTCTGGTGCAGCGGAGGGCCCCGTCGACACCGTCAGGATGTGGGAGTCGGGATATAGTGATAGGTACTACGAGCAAAAGTTCCACGCCGACCCCAAGGACGTTGGTTTCCGCCACAAGGTGGCCCACGCGTACGTCGAGGGTCTGGCGTGGGTACTCCTGTATTACTTCCAGGGCTGCCCGTCATGGGAGTGGTACTACCCCTACCACTATGCTCCGTTTGCGGCCGATTTCCAGGGCCTTGCGGATCTCAAGATCTCATTCGAGAAGGGGAGGACGTCGAGACCCTATGAGCAGCTCATGAGCGTGCTGCCTGCTGCGTCTCGCGACAACCTTCCTCCCGTCTTCCATGATCTCATGACAAACGAGGACAGCGAGATCATCGACTTCTATCCCGAGGACTTTGAGCTCGACCTCAATGGCAAGAAGTTTGCCTGGCAGGGTGTCGTGCTTTTGCCCTTCATCGAGATGGACAGGCTTCTGGCTGCCGTCGAGGCCAAGTACCCGCTGCTTACACCGGAGGAGGCGGCGAGGAACGGCGTGGGGAAGGAGGTGCTCATCTTATCTGACGCCCACGAGGGGCTTTATGAAGACATCATCACACACTTCTACTCGAAGAGACAAAGTGGCTCCGAGTTCACGCTCAATCAGCGGAATAGCGATCTCTTGGCAGGCAAGGTGTCGAAGCTTGACGACTACCTGCCCCACGGCGCGCTAGCGTATCCTTTGGAAAGGAAAAGCATGCCGGATGTCGAGTACGACCGCTCATTGAGGTATGAATCACGCGGCCAACCCGGTCCCTCCTGTTGACATGCCATATCACTAACGCTACGCTCTACATTTTAGTGTGCATTACGAGATGCCCAAAGCACATCCCCACAAATCCATGCTGATGCGAGGTGTCAAGTTGCCAACCCCAGCGCTCACCCGGAGTGACCAGGAGGAACTACGAGGGAAGCTGCGTGGTCGTGGCGGCGGCGGCTATGGCGGTCGCGGTGGCTATGGAAATGGCAACGGCGGCGGCTATGGCAACAATGGCGGCGGCTATGGAAACGGCGGCGGCTACGGTAACCGTGGCGGCTATGGCAACGGCAACTCATACGGCTCCCGAGACCACCGGGGTGACCGGCAGGGAGGAGGAGGGCAGCAGCACCGCAATCAGTCGTGGCAGCCTCCCGCACCAGGCCAGTCCGGATTCGGGGTGGGCTCGCTTCCCCCGCCTCCGCCTCCCGGACAACACTACGGCGGCCATGGCCAAGGATACAGCAACCAGTATCCTCCAGCCTACCCCCAAGGATACCCACAGTATTCCGGGGCGTATCCGCCAGCTGGCGCACCTGCTTACCCGCCGTCATACCCACCGCAATCGTACGGCGGACATGGGCAGCACGGGCAATACCAACCTCCTCCGCATGGGGGACATCGCGGATCGTATAACAGACACGACGGCGGCGGCCGGGACCACGGCTCTCACCACGGCGGAGGCGGTGGTGGTAGAGGCCGGGACAACCGTAACGACAGACGGTACTAATGGATGAAATGGAGGTGCTACCCGCCCATGGAGTGGCAGACCTTTGGTTGGGGGGAAATGTTGGCTTCAAGATCTTCAAAGTTGTATCATTTGTATAAGAGGAAGGGTGACTGGGTCTTGTTTGCATTTCTGTTTTCTATATGGACTCGATGCTGTCGAGTTCGCGCGATGTTTGAGATATCCGAGGCAGGCTAAGGATAGCCGAGCAGCCCAGGCAGCCGGTCGCTGCTCAATCCCCATATGCTTCATATGGTGTTCAAAATTGCCACACATTGTCCAACAGGCAAGGACTATATTATTTTAGACGAGGCATACCTGTCGTCGATTTCAGAGTGGCGCATCCATTGTTCCCAACACATGTCCTGTCACGAATCGAATGTTTTACAAGATCTTGCCTTTGTTGACGACAAATGCTTCAATGGCAGCTAGAAATGCGCAATAACGTCGATTAGTCAGCCTCGTACCTCAAAGTGATAGGATAATTAAGTCTTATCCGTATTTTCAACTTACCTACGGCGGCCCATAGCCTGTTTTCGGCTTCCTCAAATACCAGCGATCTGGGGTTGTAGAAGACCTCGTCGGCGACCTCCTCGGGGTGGCGTGGGAGACAGTGCATGAACTTCCAGTCAGGCTTTGCGCCACCGCGCTTCGCAAGGTCGTTTGTGATTTGGAACCCGGCAAAGGCCTTGAGTCGCTTCTCGGCCTCGGCCTCCTGGCCCATGGATACCCACGTGTCCGTCACCAGGATGTCGGCGTCCTTGATGGCCTCCTCCGGAACCTGGGTCTCAGTGAGCTTTCCGGGGTGGGGGGCGGAGGAGGCGGCAGACTCGATCAGGCTTCTCATCGGGGCCGGGATGCCGTAGCCGGCCGGGGAGGCGACCGCGACGTCGGCGCCGAGCTTGACGCCAGCGATGGCCATGTCGAAGAGCACGTTGTTGGAGTCGCCGACCCAGGCGATCTTGACGCCCTCCAGTCCGAGGCCGCCGCCGCCCTCCCCGCCGGCAGACGAGGGGAAGGCCGAGTGGATGGTCAGGAAGTCGGCGATGGCCTGCAGCGGGTGGAAGTCGTCCGACAGGGCGTTGATGACGGGCACGCTGGAGTGCTCGGCCAGGCCCGCCACGTCCGAGTGCGGGCCGACGCGGGCGACCATGCACGAGGTCATGGAGGATATGACGCGCGATGTGTCAAGTAGCGACTCGTTCACCTGTCAAAAAAGACCTCGGAGCATCAGCACGAAAGTTGGAAACATGACATAATATGCGGCCATTTTGCACACGTGCCTTGCCCACACACATATATATACAGGGTGCGGGATGCAAAAGGTGCTTTTTTCTTCATCTTCACGTCTGGGGGAGCTTTACACCAAGCTGGATGTCGTCCTTGCCCAGGAACATGGGGTGGCCGCCCATCAGGGCGACGGCGGCCTCGGTGGAGACGCGGGTCCTGGTGCTGCGCTTGCTGAACATCATGGCCACCGTCTTGCCCGAGAGGGAGGCGGCCAGCTGTGCGGGGGTGCTGCCGGCCTTGACGGCGCGCTTGTGCGCGGCGGCGGAGCGGACAAGGGCCGCGAGCTCGGCGGGGGCCAGGTCCGCCATGGACATCAGGTGCCGGGGCTTGGGGGCGGCCGTGGAGTACAGACGGCCGCCCTGCCGCAGCCGGGCACCAGCTAGGGCGTTTCCTAGAGTCCGGACGGCTGGACGATGCATTTTGTGGTCTTTTGTCTTGGGTTAGGTAGTGTGATTTCTTCCTGGGCACCTGATAGGTGTATGTGGTTGGGAATTTGTCTCTTTTGTCTCTGATGGTGGTTTTGTGTGAGGTCAGTGACTCAACCAGAGCTCCTCGGCGGCAGGGGTTGCTCCAGCTCCAATTGAGGTGGTGGAGGTCTGGTGCACGGCCACGAGGGGTGCACACAAATTTAGCACCCGCCGCCGACCTGCATGCCCCGCCCCTACTACTCACGTAATGTCGCGCCCTGGCTTGTCGCCCCCACCGGCAGTGGCTTGCCGACAGCGGCATCGCCAGTCAGTCACTTGAGGCAATTGCAGCGTGGCAGGGATCCAAGACACTGAACTGAAGACTGACACGCCGACTGGCATCGGCCGCCAAACCCAACTTGAGGAAATTCCCGGGGAAATCCCAAGAAAAAGTCCCAAAGGAGAGCATAGTTCGTGGCCCCATCTCTAGCTCCTCGCCCCGACGAACTTACATCTTCCCGACTCGAGCGCTAGGCTAGCCCGCGCCGAAGCTTGGTGCTGTGGCTGTAGCCGACGCGGCCTGACACAGTCGAGCCCGCCGAGAGCCTGGCACCTGGCACACTGACACTGACCCTCCTGGCCAGGAGGAGGCCTGGTTCCTTGGCCAGGCGTGCGGCCCGGTACCTCGCAGGACGATGGCGGTGGTGGTGGCCCACAATAATGGCCTGCGCTGCAAGCCCGCACACACAGAGTCAGGGGCCAATCCCCCGCCGCCCCCACAGCCAGCGGCCGACTGTGCTTGCTGCTGCCCGATATGAGCACCAAGCTCGGATACTCCCACCCGTCTCGAGACCCCCCAAGCACCAGCCCGACAGGGGGTGTTTGATCGATCTCGTCCCCCGCAGACGTGTCGTGCACGGCTGGCAGCTCCTGGACACTGTACCAGCCCTGCGTGTCTGCAACCTCTGATCGCCGGCAGTTGCTGTCCTCGGCCGTCTTCTGAAAAAGAAGAAGCAATAAAAACCCTTCGCCCGCATCAACGACGAGCCAGCCTCACCCAGACGTCAGCACCACCCTTCGCCCCCACGCACCGCTCCTCTGTCCACATCCCCCCTGCGACCAGGGCGGGGAATCATGATCAGGGCGAGGTAGGCCACCGCTGCTTGCTCCAAGGGCCGCATCGCCATGACGGGTGACGCCGGCCTCGTGGGGTGCCTCGTGGAGAGGCTCGCGACGCGGGTAAGATATAGAGCACTCCTTTTTCCTCTCGCATCGCAGACAGCCCGCTAACCTGTCTGCTCGGCACAGCTCCCCCACCGCACCGGCACCCGCAGCGAAGACGATCTTAGCCAGGACGAGATCGTCGGCATCACGCGCGCGACCCTCGTCAAGCTCAGCGCCACCTCGATCGTCCACGTCCTCGACGCCCTACTCGGCCTCCTGACCGAGCTCGCCCGCCCCTACACCAGCGTGGCTGCCCACCCCACCCATGTCCTCCTCTCCGAGTTCTACATACTGGCCCTGATCGCCGACTGCTGTGCCCACCACTGGGCCTCGGTCGGGCGCAATGGTCGCGCCTCTCCGCTGTCCACTGACGATGGCTTTGACGAACCACTGCTGCTCCCGCGCAACATCGCCTCCCTGCCCGCACCCCAGCCCTTGCCCGACGCTCTGGTGACCAGGATATTCGAGTTCATCAAGCTCTTTTTTGGCCCATTGCCCGATGGATACGTCCTGCCCGCCAAGACGCTGCTGGACGAGACCCCGGGCTCCCTGACGCCCGCTCCAGGCGAATCCGACGGCCCAAAGTCGGTCCGTTCTGGCCGCTATGGCGACGACGTCGACAGCACCGGGCTCATGGACATGAATGCGCCGGCCATCGAGACGAACGTCAAGACCATCGTCGAGTTTGTGACGGCAACGAGCTGGCCGGCCGCGTTCGATTACTTCCGGAACGTCATATACACCCTCCGCGCCACTGCTGGCCCGGTGCAGGGGCCGCCTATATCGAGCCTGGTGGCGGCCGATGAGGAGCGAGCTGCGCTCGTGATCCTGCGCCTGGTCGCCTACTTCTGGGTTGATGCCAACAAGCTGGGTCAGATGATCCAGGAGCTGTGTTCGAGCTTCTTGCACTTCCGCAAGCACTTCCAGAACACCGTCGCCGTCGTTGCGCCCCTCCTCATCTCCCGCTGGCTCGACCGGTTTCCCGACGAGTTCGTCCAGCTGCACACCATGCACAAGCGACTGGACGGCGGCGCCGACACCCTCTTTGATATGACACATACGGTGGTGGACAACGCCCGAAGACGCGCTCTGCTCTACCCCTTGCAGACTACGCTTCTGTTCTTGCTTCCAGACGTCTTTGAGGTCGCGAGCAACCTCCGCGAGGCCAAGAGCGGCAGCATGTCCAAGAAGGTCGGCTTCCTCGATAGCCTGAGAAAGGCTCTGCGTAATAGGAACGAGCAGGCCGCCTATTGTCTCGTGTCTTTGCTCCGCGCAGCCCGCCACTTCAGCGCCGAGAGCGACTCGGCCTTGCTGAGCTACGCCATGGACGTCCAGGACGAGGTCCGCGACGCCGTCTTCCGCAAGGTACACGGCGCCGATGCTTTCATGTTCGACCAGGATATCCTGACCGCCGCCTTCGTGAGCCTGGCGCATCTCAACTTTGAAATATGCGTCGAGTCCCTGTGCCTTACTTGCCTGGCCCCTGCTGCCCCTCACGGATTCAAGATCGCGGTGATTCAGACCTGCTCGCACTTTGCCCGTCTGCGGGACAACAAGAGGTATCTCCGTCTCTTCGCTGCGGCGGCTCCCTTCATACAGGGCCAGATCACGGTGAGTTCTCGCTGCTACGTCGGCCCATACAAAATATCAAGGCAGCAAGCCGACTAACTGCGTGTTTGTGTGCCGAAAAGACTATCTCATCACAGTTCACCGAGATGCTACTTGGAAACCGTGGCGCCTGGAACAGACGCTCGGATCACAGCACGTCCATCATCATGTTGTGCAATATTCTTGAATTTCTGAACGCCTCACCCATGACCCTCTTCTCGGGATCGCCTGATGGCACGGATGAACGGAACAGCTTCTTCGAGGACAATTTTGAGTCCCTTTTCTCGTGCATGGTCGTCGCCGACGAGGCTGTTAGGCAAGCTGCTGTCGGAGTCGCAAAGCGTCTTTTCGCCGAGGAAAATGTCCTCGAGTCAATCAGGGCCTCCAAGAGGCTCGGGTCAAGAGACTTCAAGCGAAAATTCTGGCGGTTAACGTGGGTTGCAAGCCCTCCTCTCGATTGACTTCTCCCTAGTCTGCTAACGCCCGCCTCCCCGGGATATAGGTCTCTTGTACTGTCCAACATGTGTGACAATCTTCCCAGCGAGGACCCTGCTTCGGACCTGAGGGTGATCCACAACTTTCTAGAATTGAGGCTTCTGCTCCTCACATATGTCAAGGTGAGTCAACAGGCGAAGTGGCACTCATCCGGTGCTTCGCCGAATCCCCTTTGGACCAAAGTGACGGCCGAGGCTGAGCTCATGTCAATGCTACCGTTCTAGGAAATGGACGGGCTCGTGGATGATGTGCCAGAAAGAACAGCTGCGTACACGAGGCTCGAGACTGCCCTGTTGGTATCGCTATGCTCGGCGGATATCGACATGTGCCAGCTGGTGACTTCCTGCTTTGGTCGATTCCTGGAGGAATGCCGTGTTATCGATGTTGGGTCGGAGGCGAACAAGCCATCGCTGCCACTCCTCCGCAACGGGGAGGTCTTTTCCGAGATATCTTCTCGCGGATTCCGCTTCACCGGGCTGGTGGCGTTCCAAAAGCGGATGCGCGGCTTGCTGCGGCGCATGCAATACCCCAGTGCTGGCATCCTGGATGCTTGGGAGATCGGATTCGAAAAGTGGCTGCACCTATCCAAGGACGTATCGACGGCGTCGGCAGAGACTGTATCGGAAAAGACGGTGGCTGAGTGGCGAAACTTCTCGGGCTTCCTCGCGTCGCTGGGCGGCATCTGCATTGCTGATCAGGCGGCCGTCCTGGAGGAGCCTGTGATCAGCGGTCTTCGGTGGATTGACAGGCTGTCTTCCGAGAACCACGAGGAGCCGCTGCTCAACAGGTATCTGAGATTAAGCATCCAGCTGCTGGCATGCCACAGCGTCAAAGTCAGGGAGACGATGCGGGAGGTGCTGTCGACCGAGGTGTCCCCTTCGCTTTACCAGCCGCTCTTCAAGGCTCTCGAGGCTGAGCTTGACATACTCTTCACGGGCGCCTTAGAGCAGTCGGTCAAGGACCAGGATAGCGAGATTGTGTTTGCGGAGCAGTCGGCCTCGCTCCTGAGGGCCCTGGTGGAGAGGCTCGATACCCCTTCCGACCTGGGAGCTGCTTCGTCGGTCCACCTGGGTGCCCTCACCCTGAACTTTGCCAAATTCCTGGACAGTGTCTCGGACAGCCCTAGCAGCCTCCGGGTCAAGATCAAGATCTGCCAGCTGTGTGAGGCGGTCACTAGGAGAAAGGAGCACCTCAACCTGAGGGACGACGTGCGCATCCGAAACCAGCTCCTGGAGTACATCTTTGGCTGGATTGCGCGTCCCCGATCGCCCCGTGCCGAGTCTGTCATGTACGGGGGCGGCAGGCAAGACGAGATGTCACGGGTGCAAAAGGACCTCGACAAGGCATGCCTCAAGTCGCTAGCCGAGCTCACTTTCCGCCTGCCCCTCCAACCAGGGGACGGGCAGACAGACGCTGGGACAAGCGAGCTGAAGTCGCAGATGTTCCACACGTACTTCAACCGCTTCCTGTCGCTCCTCAACCTGGAGTCGGCCGACACGGTCGGCAGGGGCGACCACTCGCGCGACGACAATGCGTCCAGCTCGGAGCTCGCCATCACAATTCTGTCGAACCTCTTGAGTGCCAACATCGATGTCGGGCTCAAGCACTCCCTCAGCATCGGCTACCACGAAAACGTCGACATCAGGACGGCTTTCGTCAAGGTCCTGTACAACATTCTTGTCCAAGGCACCGAGTTTAGCAACCTGTCGGATGCTGCGGTGACTGAGAAGTACGACGAGCTGCTCGAAGTATGATTATATTTCACCCATCTTGGCTCCATGTTTCGCTTTGTGATCTTGCTGTCAACTGACATTACTTTTGCCCGTGGTATGTAGCTGCTCACTCGGGACACAACCTTGGCTGTTGCCATGAGTGCCGTCTGCCCAAGCAGCGAAGTGGACGAGCTGACAATATCGCTCTTGAACATTTTTGAGAAGCGGGGCCGCAGCTTTGTTCTGATCGAGGCCTTGATCAAACAGGAGATCGAAGATACAGGTCAGTACTCGCTCGGATTTGAGGGCATTCTCGTTCTCCAGGCTGACTTGAATGTTTCGGATCAGAAAATGAATCTGAGCTTCTCCGAAGAACATGTGTTGCCACCAAGATGCTTTCTGTGTTTGCAAAATGGAAGGGCTCGTTGTATCTCAAGGCAACCCTACAAAAGGTCGTCGAGAGACTGATGCTCACGTCCAAGGATCTGGACCTAGAACTGGATCCCGCCCGTGTTGGCTCGCAGGAAGAGCTGCAAAAGAACGCGCTGCAACTTCGCATTGTTGCCAAGGTGTTCATAGACGACATTTGCGCTTCGTCGACCAGCATCCCGGCATCGTTTCGCAAGATTTGCAGCATTGTGAGTTTAGATCTTGGCGTCCGATTGCCGTGCTCTGGCTGACGTCCCTTTTGTTCGACAGATATCCAACGCAGTCATGGCAAGATTCCAAGAATCAAAATACACTGCGGTGGGCGCCTTCATCTTCCTCCGCTTCTTTTGCCCGGCCATCGTGGCACCCGAGGTTGAAGGTCTCGTCTCGACCTCGCCCTCCAAAGAAATGCGGCGAGGGCTGCTGCTCATCGCCAAGGTCATACAAAACCTGGCCAACAATGTTCTGTTTGGCGCAAAGGAGCCTTACATGTTCCCTCTCAACGACTTTCTGGCCCAGAATATATACAAGATCACCACCTTCCTGCGAGAGATTTCGGTGCCTCCTGATGTGCTAGACTCGAGCACCGGCGGCGAGTCGTTCGACTTTGGGTCCTGCGTGGCCCTGCACCGCTTCCTCTACGACCACTGGGACCACGTACGGCAACGGCTCGTCTCACGCGAGAGGCGGGAATACGTTCGCTCGCCAGCCGAGAGCACGCGCGGGCGATCGCCCGTGCTCGAGCCGCTGCGCAGCCTGATTACCAACCTAGGCCCGCCTCCGATGGCTGTGACCTGGAACCGGCCCCTGATCTCGGCCAACAGCCCGCCAGCCTACTCCCGGTTCCAGGACTTCATGCTGCGGAATGCCTTCCGGAGCACAGAGTCCTTTGTGACAGCCCGAGCTGTTTATGACGGCGGAGAGAGCAAGGTCAGTGCCGCCCACCTCGTTTCGTTCTTTGTAACTTCTTTCCCTTTGCTCTTTGCTGACAAGAACACGACGGCAGGATGGGCTTTCAATAATCTGCGTGATCCTGCGCAACATTGATGCCGAATCCATCGACTATGACACTCTAATCTACTGCTATCTCAAGATTGCAAGTAGATTGTGGCATCGTCCGTTTGGGTTGCTCATCGACGCGACATGCTACAACGGCCAGAGCGAGCCGCAGGACGAGCTGTTCCAGAAGCTAGAACTCCTCATGCCTATCGAGCTTTCAAGGCAGCTGTCTAGGGTCTACGTCTACAACATGAACAGCGCCTTTCGGTGAGTCTCTGAAACAGGGGGAGGGGGGGGGGCGGCGCCAAGAGCCAGCACACTGACTGACACACTACTACAGCAAATGCTTCCGGCGGGTGCTTCGCATGGCCACCAAGAACGAGGCGAGCGTGTTCAACCCGCGCAACGTCGAGTACCATCTCATCGGCAGCCTGCAGGAGCTCCAGACGCAGTTTCACCTCAGCCAGCTGCACCTCCCCAAGGAGACCATCAGCGTCGTGACGGACACACGCTACGTGTTCCAGCCCATCACCAAGCTCTCCAAGTCCAAGGGCAAGGTCGATGTGGTGATCAAGGTCGGCAGCCAGTTCGTGCAGGTCACGACGGCCAAGAAGCAGGAGGTGTACCAGGGCCTCCGGCTGAGCACGACGGTCAACGACATCTTCCGGCTGGGCGAGGTGGACGAGGCGCCGACGTCGATCCAGACCGAGGACGACTCGGCGTTTGGGCTGCGGGCCGACAGCGGCAAGATCGTGCTGTACTTCATCAGCCCCAAGAAGACGGACGTGCTGCAGGCGATCCACAGCGCCAAGGCCAAGTACGGCAAGGACACGCGGTCGCTCAAGTCGTTCGAGCGGCTAATCCGGCCGCAGGACGTGCCGGGAACGCTGCTCAACCTGGCGCTGACCAACCTGGCGAGCCCCGACCACGTGCTGCGGCTCTCGTCGTACAATCTGCTGGGCGCGCTTTGTCTGGCCTTCAAGTTCACGGCAGCGTCGCGGCTGATGTGCACCAAGGATATTGCCGTGCCGCTGGACCCAACGCACTTTGTTGTTGGCATCAGCAAGCAGCTGGCACGCACCGAGCCGCAGCTGACGGCCGACTTCCTCAACGAGTTCTTTGTTGGCTGGGACAGCTTCTCGGAGGAGCAGAAACCATTGAGCCTGGCCTACATGGCGCCCTGGCTGCCGGGCCTGCGCACGTCGCTGCTGGCGTCGGAGCCCGAGGGTGACAAGGGCCGCGACAAGATCGCATCGCTGTTCCGCAAGCTCATCGACGTGACGGTGGCGGATCCCACGCTCAACTTTACGCTCGAGCACGTGGTGTGGCCGTGCATCCACGCCGACGAGGTGCTGCTAGACATCCTGCTCGACGAGATCATCAAGACGGCGCTGAGCCTAGGCCTGCACGACGAGCAGACGGAGACGCTGACATGCATCGTCACGGCCATCGGCACCATCACGCTGCGCGGCAAGATCATCTCGCGGTTGCGCAAGGCCCTCAACCGCTCGTCGCTGCGGCCAACCAAGTACCTGCCCGACAACGCCGTGTGGTCCGAGGTGTGCGTGCTGCTGCAGTTCTGTGTGTCGCTGTCGTTCGACAGCGGCGTCCAGTCGCAGCTGTACCTGCCCGAGATCTTCCACGTCGTGACCATGTTGGCCAACACGGGCTCACCAGACGTGCGCCTGCTGGTGCACCGCCTCCTTGTGAACTCGGTACACGCAGCCTGCACCTCGTTCGCCCTCGACGAAGCCCGGCTCAACCGGCTGCGAGCCGCCCTGGAAGCCTTCTCGGAGCCGCGCAACGACATTTTCTCGACGCCGAACCCCTTGCCTCTGGCGCGCGACGGCGCCTCCTTCTCGACCTCACAGGAGGCCGGGCCGACACTGGCGGCAACAGAAAACCTAGCAGCGCAGCTGTTTGAGATATGCTCCATCGCAGCGCCGTCTACAGATGCGGCCAACGCCTGGAGGTCGCGGTGGATGAGCCTAGTGGCCAGCACGGCGTTCCAGAACAACCCGGCCATCCAGCCGCGGGCCTTCACCGTCATGGGCTGCCTAGCGCGCGAGGAGGTGGACGACGACCTACTGTACCAGGTGCTCGTGGCCCTGCGCAACAGCGTGGGTCGGTTCGGCGAGGACAGCAACAGCGAGATGATGGTGGCCATCGTCACGTCGCTCTCCAAGATGATGGCCAAGCTGCCGTCGGCGTCGCGATACGGGCTACAACTCTTTTGGCTGGCCATGTCGCTGCTGCGGCTGGTGCCGCCGAGCCTGTTCAACTGCACCGCCATCTTTCTCGAGTCGGTGCTGACCAACATCAACACGTCGGCCGACATGCGGGGTGACAGGATGGCGCCGTATCTGCTGCAGGGGCGGGCGCAGCTCGAGGAGGCGACGTTGCCACTGGATGACGCCTACGGGATACACTTTACCAGCGAGACTTTCCACTTTGCGGCGTGCGCCTGCCTCGTGCGGGGCCTGACCGACACGGTGACCAAGTCGACGGCTCTGCGGGTGCTCTCAACCTTTCTCGAGATGACGAGCTGGAGGCCGTCGCTGGCGGAGCGGGCGGCGGGCGACGTCCTGCGCTCGCCCTACATGGCGCTCACTCTGGCGCGCGCCGCCAGCCGCGAGGAGGTCAAGGACAGCTTCTGGGTGGCGGGCGTCAACCCGACGGGCCTTGATCGGTCGGCAAGCATCCGCAACGTGCGCGACGTGGCCACCATGAAGGACAAGGACCTGCTGCTCAACACGGCCATCGAGCTCGTCGACTTTCAGTATCTCGAGGACGCGATACAGAACCGGACGCTGCGCTGGCTCAACGAGCTCGCCGTGGAGCGCACTGGCGTGATAGCCCGGCTGTAAGTGACGCCTTTCGGTGACGCCTTTCGGTGACACCTTTCGGAATGGAGTGCCATGTTTCACACCTCTTCTTCCTGCTGACCACGATGTGCTACGGCAAACAAACAGATCGAACCCAATCATCTCCATCCTAGACAGCATCCTGCTAAACTGCCAAAACTCGTCGACGCTTGAGTCGGCGCATCTGCTGATGCAGACGCTCAGCTCCAGCGGCATCGGGCTCGAGTCATCCAGCATGCTCGATGACATACTCGACGAGCTCGGGTTCGGGGGGCTGTGGTCGTGCTCCTTCAACCTGGCGCAGGAGAACACGCCGAGCGAGGCCTTTGGGCTGACGGAGAAGCTTATCGAGCTGATCATCATATAGCCGTCACCTATTTTGTCCCTATATGTGGCGGGCTGTTGCCACGACATATCACCACACATACACACCACACACACACACGACACCACCACGCCAACTATAGCAGCGCACCAACAAAGCTATCAAACAAACCACTTTGGCTGCCGCCGCCCGAGTCGGCCTTGATTATTGTTTTACTTTTACTTATTTGTCAAGCCGCACCGAGATGATTTTGATGTACCCCATGTAGTGTGTGTGTGTGTGCCTTGGGCATCACTTTCTGCCTTTCTTGTCCTTTTTTTTGTCTTTGGTTGTTTGTCGCGAGTGCGGAGAGGGCGAAATGCGGAAACAAAAACGTGAAGTGAAATCTACATGCAACGATGAATGAGGAGATCTGTGCGCTTGGCAGATTCCGGCCTGAGCGGCAGCCGGACTAGACACACAAAACGCAGACGACACGAGGCATTTTATCTACGTTATGGAGCGGGATCGCGGATCGAAATGGGGAGGAAGGAGGAAGGGGTCAGAGGCCCCGAGTTGGATACTACTGCTACTGCTAGGTACTGTTGGATTGGAAACGAACACATGTGGAGAGACCAAGAACGGATCAAAAAGTGCCTTCCGCCCGCAAAGGAGACAGACATGTCAGACGACGGGGTGTGGTGCCAAGATGGGGCACGATGGATGTTTGACGCCATGTCTGTTGCGAGTTAGGTTGGTCGGTTGGTTGGTTGTCTGGTGATTGAGAGAGGGGGGGAGGCAGGCATAGATGGACAAGGAGAAAAGTGACGGCAAAATATGCCGCGGCATCATGTAAAACAGAGAAAAGGATGTGCGAGTGAGCCGAGCCAATGGGCAAAAGGGAGGTAGGTATCGTGCGGCGTGTGGGCTCGGACACCTTTTTCGCTGCTAGTATTTCATCATTCCGTCATGGGCAGGTTTCCTTCAATGGCTGGCATGTACGGTTGCGCGTGCTTTGGTGTGGTGTGGTGGATGTATTATGTGGTCATTGCATCATCAAAAAGCGACCACTTGTCATCCGCTCTTGTCTGTTCTGCCCCAAGGCGTATCAACAAAGAGACCATCAGTGCCTGCTCCACCACCCACCCCCACCATCACCACCACCAGAGCCTGCTACTGTAGACTGTGTCTGACAGCGACGGCCCCAGCGGCAGAATCCACTGCCGCTGCTTTTTCTTTCTCGCTCGTGTTTTTTTTCATCCGTTCTCTTGCTCTCGTATTCTTTCCCGGACCAAGACGCACCCAGATATGTAATATTACAGTGGAAACAACAAGGGAAAGGGTCATCTATCCGGAGGATTCATGAAGGAAAGTAATGGAAATAGAACGTGAAGCAAAAGAAAACCA